CCCCTGGGCTCGGCGTGGTTCTTATAAACCCAGTGAAGGCAATCACTCGGCGTTCAGTCAATGTGGAACGTCGAGCGAATTGCCTCCACTGTCTCCACTGAACCAGTCCGGCTCCCACACCCAGTCTAGATCGCAGCACTTGCTGGCACATCTCCTCGCTACAGCTCCTCTCAGCCACGCAGGAAAGAGACTGATCCCCACAGCTTGAACAGCTGAACCGCAAGTATCTGGGCTCTAGCTCTATATTGAACTACCTGTCAGTTGCCTGATACTACTGCTGATAAGTACATGTTGAAGCTAGATGCCTGTGTAATTACTACTGAAGGGTTACATGCCAAATGAAGTGTATTGAGATATACTGCTAAAGATTACATGCCTACGCTATATGCCTATCTACTTACATCAATTCCACGCAGCTGTTGTCACTTAGGTATAAAGAGCATTAGCAGTAGTCCATATTTCACAGTATTGCCTGGATGCACTGGGTGTTAGAGGCAGCCAATACAATTCGGGGTTGTGTGTGCAGTTATACCAATCTATAGCTCCTCCGGCTGTGTCATACTACAGTCCCATCAGACCCCCATCACTACAGTAACTTTCCTTGAACTAAGGCTGGGATACATGATGTGGAACGACTTCCTAGCGCACTGAGTGTGTAGGAAGTCACCTGACTGACCGAATCCCATACAGCCTACTGAATTAGTTCCGCAGCTGCCGTCCAAATCCACCATAGCCGCTTGATTGTGATATTTATTGACTGAGATAACACACATCTCCTTAGCGACGTTTCGAGATCATGCGGCCCCGTCCTCAAACAGTTCGCCTGAGGATGGGGCCGCATGGTCTCGAAATGTCGCTAAGGAGATGTGTGTTATCTCAGTCAATAAACAGCATTGACTTTAATATCATAGATAAAAGTAGTCCCTCGCACTCCATCTACATTTCACGGAGGCATCCGTTGTCACCACCGCACCCACCCAGTTGGGTTTTTGTCCGGTCAGGAGTGCAATGGGACAGGAGGATTAAGTTTCTGTACAGAGTGCTTCTCCCCATTGAGAAACTCATGAATGAACAGGAAGTGATGTAAATCACATCGTGTTCATTCATAATTGGGGACACATAGTGCTATGTGTCCCCAGTTATTTACAAACACTGGAGTGATCAGCTGATCGCTCCAGTGTTTGTCCTGCACAGAGGACCGGTACATATCACTGATATGTACCGATCCTCTGCCGCTCGGTCACGCACAGGGGGGGCTCAGCTTCTCCTCCGGATCTCGGTTGACGGAGTCCCTGTAACAGCAGCATGTGCAGTGAAGAGAGAGAGAGCCGCCGGCTGTCAGATCCAAGCCGAGCGGCTCTCTCCTCACCGCTCGGCGTGCTGCTGTGATAGCGGCTCCGTCCCGCCGACTGCAGCTTCACTTTTCCTCGGATCCAGAGAAGACAGGACATCGCGATCGATCTTATGGGCACCCCTGTTTTAAACACTACAGCACCCAATTCTATCAATGGCTCTCCCACTTGTTAATGAAAAACCAATAACTGGGCAAAAAAGCCAAAATCATACAACACATGGTGTTTGGTGGTAAACTTTACACTGGCAGATTAGTGGAAAGGATCTGAGTGAAATAAACCACTCATTCAACACCATTCTGATACATGCTGGAGGAATTGTCTAATAATACCTGTGCTGTTCTCCTATATACAAGTTTCAATAAGCAAACAGTACAGTGATTTTTGTTTTTAAATGTAGACTTAACAGTCTTCATTTAAATACTTTGGGAGGAATTTATCAAAACTGGAGCAGACAAAATCTGGTGCAGCTGTGCATGGTAACCGATCACCTTCTATCTTCAGTTTGTTAAGTTAAGATTTGAAAACGAAAAAGAAAAGCTGATTGGTTACCATGCACAGCTGCTCTAGATTTTGTCTGCTCCAGTTTTTATAAATTCCCCTCAATGTCCCACCCCCTTAAAAGATCTCCACTGTTAGTGCAGTAGTCCTTAAATAAACTCCCAAGTGTAGTCAGCCTAGTTAAATACTTATCTTCATCCCCTCTGGAGTTTTTCCCTGTACAGTCGTGCCTGGTGGCCCATAGGCTCTACATGGATGGTGTGTAGTCATGGCCCACATGTAAATGTAGAGGCCATGCAGTACTGAGCAGAGAACAGTGAAGAACTCAGGAGTGGGGATGAAGGCATTTAACTATGCCAGCTATACATACGAGGGTGGTGTACTGATATGCTTGTGCCTCACTTAATTGGCATTGAGATCTTATAACTTCAAACTTTTTCAGATACAGATTTGAATGTGGAACCAGTGCATGGGTGGAAAAGAGGGAAAACCACAAAAAAGGAACATCAGCACAATTTTGGAGCCAGAAATGTGAATTTGAAAAGAGAATACATGACTGAATTTCTACAGAAACCTGGATACTGAGTCATCAGGTAATATGATTGTGCAGGAATTTTAAGTAGGATTTATAATCTACCCTATTTAGCCTTACTTAAAACGTGTGTGTTATATTGCAGTTTACCAGTTCTTATTTCAGATGCCTGCATTTGTTTTTTTTTCAGGCTTTTCCCCTCTCCCCCTTTATGTTCACCAGGTAATCCTGTGAATAATACACACTTCCTGTTCCTGGGTGGCTATGCTCACTCCTCCCCTGTATGGATGGTGCCACTGTAGCCACCCATGCTGAACTTCAAATATGTCTGCATTCATTACATAAGGGATAATGGGATTAGTAGTTTACACATGAAGATTTTTTTATTTTTTTTTTGCTTCCAGTTTATTTCACAGGAAGTGACAAGGACACTGAATTCCTAGCAAGATCAACAGATATATTCTATACTTGATAAAAATGTTCTTCGCATTAAAAAAAGTAAACCAATGCAGCTACCACATCTAAGGACTGGTCAGTTGACACAAATTACAATTTTGTTCTCGGTTTAAATATACTTTAAAAGTCTGACATTTCTGGCTATGGAGTCAGGGGACAGTTTCTGCCTCTCAGCTGCCTGGCCTTAAAAGCTTTACACTTAACGTGGGAGACCATTCATAAGGTCAGGTAATTGAGAAGCCAACTGTCAGACTTTAGGTAACCTCTGATCATCTGAATGCCTCAGAAATGACAGCTGCCATATTTATATCCTGACAAGTTACATTTTAAAGTAGCCATGGGTTATGCACTTCTACTAACAGCAACAGGAAAGGCTCCGAAATGATTGTGCCAACAGTACTCTTTTAGGTGTACAAGGATTTGTCAGCTCACCTTTCTTGTATCAAACTAGCAGGAATTAAATGGTCTTCCAGAGCCTGGTGGTTCTGTTTTATTTCCTCTTGTTTTGGTTCTGCTGGAGGTGGAGTTGGTGGTCGTCTTTTTCTCTCCTCTTCCTCCCACCTCCTTCTCAACTCATGCTCCTCCAACTAAAAAACAAACACACTGAAAACTACAAAATAAAACTATTATTGGCTAGTATTGCTACTGTAGTGTATTATGCATCCTACAGTCAGTTGACTCTGGTGCGAGTACAAGAAATGACAATCTTATATTTAAAATACTAAGGGACAAAATAACATTGTAAAAACCTAATCAAAACTTTTAGGTAAATGTTATAGTACAGCAATAAAACCTTTCATAGGGATATTGATGACATCATAAAACACTAAAAATTCCAATTTACAGTGACCCATTTCCTTCGGGTTTTTTCCTCTTGTGACAGCACCTGCAAGAACTGGGAAGTCTGACCCATTGAATGACTGTCTAAAAATGTGCTCAAGAGGTTAGTTTCCCTAAAGAACCAAGCTAAGTAGATTTTTATGCAATCATATCCTTATTGACTCACCGTGGTCAGTTTTTCTAGAAGAAAAAATCTTTCATCCCAAGTAGATACTGCTTTCTGGAAGGCTTCATGTCTCTTAATTAAGTTTTCTACTTCATCTACATTGCCACCAAGTTCAGATGACCGGACGATAGGCTCCTGGCTGGAAAGCCAAGCTTCAGCCACGTTGGCATCTCTTCCAAACATAAGCACTTCAAGCACTAAAAGGAATCGGCAAGTGTAGATATTTACTTTCTGAATGAATGGTTACATTTTAAGTTTGTGGCTTACTTCCTGTCAGCTAATTTCATTTTAAACAATTGCTGTCTTTGATAATGTCTCTTTTAACATAAATGGATAACACAGAAGAATACGTTACAAATTTAGCTCAGTTAATAGTTTTTTGAGGGTATGGGTGCAAACATGCTTGTGAATATACCAGTACCATTAAGTCAATTGTAACTATGTAAAAACACTATGGGGCTTGCAGAACTCCTGATGATTACAGAATGTATTGGAATGACCGGCCTTTCCTGGGGGATGACAAGGGCTACCATGGTAATAATGAAAAGAAACATTAGGTGTATATTTTGAGATAAGATAAGTTAACATTTCTAAAAGGGAAATAGTACAATAGAATGTAAATAATGCGAGTCATGGCGACACTACAGTTCATTATCACCAAGCAGCGTTTCATGTAAGCCTGAACGGTCAGTGGTTATGGACAATAATGAGAACAGTATTTAGACCTACCGATTTGCAGCCATTCCATTTTTTCCTTCCATTTATTTTCGATTTCCTGCCTCCTCTCCTGCAGCTGTTCCAGTTTTTCAGAGATCTGCGAATCACAGACTACTATTAGGATACTGAACAGTGAACAGAAATAAAGTATATGACTTAGCAACAACTCAGAGCACGGATTAAAAACATGGATAACAATTTCTACATTTTGCTACACCAAAAGTTGAGACCGAGCTTCCCACTTCAATATACACACTCTTGCCGACTACATGTGGCCCCTGGGCTGGGCTGCCAGTGGAGAACAACCATAGTCTTAGCAATCAGCCCTAGATCATTATATGAGAGGACCCTCACTAACAGCACAGAGTAGTGATGCATGCGTTTTTTTTTAAATGGATGGAAGCGGTTGGTAGTAATCATCATTTATAGAATTTTGCATAAAAGTTAGAGTAATTAATATACTGACAAAGATTGGTAAGAATCTATATGCTATAACTATTCTTAACAAAAAAGTTAAAACTGACAATAGGGGCAGAAAAAATGAATTGCCATAATTCAGCTACTGTTAATCAAATCTGATCTTATGACCCTATGGGAAGGCTACGGATATACAAATATTCTTAAGCAGTAATTGAGCTTTAAAACAAGCCATCACTGACCTCGGTATCTACAAACACTGTAAAGCACTTCAAGACTGCAGGGAGTGGGAGCCAGGGCCAATGGAAGGGGGGGTTGGAATATTTAATGCAATTTTAAATCACTACACTTAATGAAATGTTTAGATAGTTTCCATAGGTGCCATAAAACTTTTCTTGAAACAAACTTTTAAAATGCTAAATCATGCACATTGGTTTTCTGATTTTTCCAATATCAGTATGCTTTCATAGCAGATAACATACACATTGTACTTGTAATGCTACCAAGGTGGTCATAGCATGTTGTATTCAAATGTATAAACATATTAAATGAGTACAGTATTATATAATGGGTTAAATCTTAATGCACACGATTTAAAAATATTTTCTTTATTTTCTTTCCGCTAAACAATAGCATAGAGAAAGACCAGACACCTGGTCAATGATCTAGGTCAATGATTCTACTATCCTGTGTTGCCACCAGAAGGCAGTGCCAGTTCACATCAAGGACCTCTCCTTGTCCATTATAAAAGGAAGCATTTGACTACATCACGTACCCAAAATACCCCATCATATTTGCTTTACTTTACAATCCTGTTAACTATGCCACTTCATCTCCTATAGAGTATATGGTGACCTACTTTATAACTCCTAATTCTCCCACTGTAGCTACAGAAGGAAATGTTGCCCTTCTAGTTTGTAGTGGTAAAAGCTGTTGTTCCAAACCTTCCATTATATATTTCTATGTGAAGAAGTACCTTGTCAGAGGCATAGTGATTCTTCTCTAGGAGAGCGTTTCCCAGGTTTATGCAAGTAGTAAAACTGTCTGCACGAGCATCAACTTCTGCCTTGATGCCTTGGTGATTTTTAATAACCAGATCAGCTGAGGAAACATCCCTGCTCAAGGAAAAAATGGACATTGTAAACATTGGGTTTGTTAAAATCACCATGAAAAAAAAAAAAGAAAAAGAAAACCACCAAGGACTTACCTTGGTTTTTCCTGAGCGTCAATCTGTAGGTTGATATCATCCATCCACAACACGAGATCTCTAACCATCCTAAAGAACCGAAACTTCTCCACTGTGTCTAGGAGGAGCTGGTGTCGGGCGCCGCTTGCATCTTGCAGCTCTCCCCAGGCTTCAGTCACTGCTTGTTCATGCCTATGGATGTCTGCAGCCTTTTCACCTGCATAAGCTTTCTGAAGCCGCGAAGCATCCTCCTGAACTTGCTTTACCTAGAAGGTTTGGGAAAAATAAAACAGACTTGCAAAATTTTTTCCAACATTTTCTTTACTCGTTTTTGCCTACAGAATATCACAAGCCCAAGACTGTATTAATATACACACACACACACACACACACACACACGTGTGTGTAAAAATATATGTGTGTAAATACAGTCATGGCCAAAAATATTGGCACCCCTGCATTTCAGATAATGCATCACTTTGCACAGAAATTGAATGCAATTACAAATGTTTAGGCATTCATTTTATTTATTTTGTATTGGCATGACACAAAAAAGTGGAGAAAAAAAAAGAATGGACTGGACAAAAATTGTCGCCTTCTCCAAATTGTAAGAAATAATTGCATTCCAAGTTTTTGTGAAAAAGCATGGACAAGTTCAAGGTTACAAGTCCATCTCCAGAGATCTTAATATTCCTGTGTCCACTATGAGCAACATTGTCCAGAAGTTTACAGCCCATGGCCAGATTATTATGACCACCTGACGTTTGTAGGCAAATTAGCTATAATTTCACGCTGAAGTTGTTAGAGGGCCAGACCATTATAAATAGGGAAGCAGGTTGTTTACCACGGCAGAAGAAGTAATTTTTTTTCTGAAGATATGGGTAAACCACGCAATTTAACAGCCTTTGAAGGTGGGATGATTGTTGGCGCTCAGAGTCATGGAGCGAGTATCAGCAAAACAGCAGAATTCGTTATATGTTCAAGAGCAGCTGTTGTTGTTAAAGTGTTTAAAGACTGGTCAGCCGAAAATCTGGGTCTGAACGTGCGAATTGTGGCCGTCAGCGACTAGTCAATGTTAGGGCAGAACGGAGAGTGGCAAGACTGGTACAAGACAACAGAAGGGCAACAGTGCAGTGTCAGATTCCTTGCATCACCTTTCAACATCTCGTGGAGTCACGAGGTGGCCCAACGATGTACTGATGGGGTGGTCATAATAATCTGGCCACTCAGTGTATACACACACAGACACACAATTGCCAAAAGTATTGAGGTAGTGCGCAACGATGTACTGATGGGGTGGTCATAATAATCTGGCCACTCAGTGTATACACACACAGACACACAATTGCCAAAAGTATTGGGACGCCTGCCTTTACACGCACATGAACTTTAATGGCACCCCAGTCTCAGTCTGTAGAGTTCAATATTGAGTTGGCCCACCCTTTGCAGCTATAACAGCTTCAACTCTTTTGGGAAGGCGTCCACAAGGTTTGGGAGTGTGTCTAAGGGAATGTTTGACCGTTCTTCCAGAAGTGCATTTGTGAGGTCAGGTACTGATGTTAGACAAGGAGGCCTAGCTCACAGTCTCCGCTCTAATTCATCCCAAAGGTGTTCTATCGGGTTGAGGTCAGGACTCTGCAGGCCAGTCAGGTTCCTCCACCTCAAACTCGCTCATCCATGTCTTAATGGACCTTGCTTTGTGCACTGGTGCGCAGTCATGTTGGAACAGGACGGGGCCATCCCTAAACTGTTCCCACAAAGTTGGGAGCATGAAATTGTCCAAAATGTCTTGGTATGCTGATGCCTTAAGGCGTTCCCTGCACTAGAACTACGAAAGTAAGACCTACCCCGAAAGTAAGACCTAGTGCTATCTTCAGGGATTTCTGTAATATAAGACCTACCCCGAAAATACCAAGCCCAACCCCTGAAACACAACCCCACACCATGATTCCGCCTCCACCAAACTTTACACTTGGCACAATGCAATCAGGCAAGTATTGTTCTCCTGGCAACTGCCAAACCCAGACACGTCCATCGGACTGCCAGACAGAGAAACGTGATTCGTCACTCCAGAGAACACGTCTCCACTTCTCTAGAGTCCAGTGGCTGCGTGTTTTCACCACTGCATCCAATGCCTTGCATTGCACTTGGTGATGTAAGGCTTGGATGCAGCTTCTCGGCAATGGAAACCCATTCCATGAAGCTCTCTATGTCGCTCAATGAACCCCAAGAAAAGGAGAAGTGGGCAACAGAAGAACAAATGCTAACAGTCACAAGAAAAAAAACCAGAACTGGGGACTGCTTGCAGCTCAAAGAGCTGCCTGACGGACCTTACTTACAAAGTTGGCAAGGTGTACTGAGCACACAGAGAATCCACTGCTTCCGCTAGAAGATCTCAGTACCTGAAGACAAACCTGTCCAGTTTGTTGCTGAACCTAGATGCCAGGGGGTCCACATTCATGCATCTCCTGTGACATAGGTCCTGGAACCCCTCCGGATGAAGCACTCTGCCAGTCTACGCCTGAATTGTGCATGGGCCAAATTTTCCTGATAGTCAATGATCCAATAAGTAAACAAATAACTATGTATATAACTAATATACTAATATCTATCTATCTATCTATCTATCTATCTATCTATCTATCTATCTATCTATCTCTGTATACTTGGATCATTATTATCATTATAGTCCCCCAACTCTCAAAGAATTGGTTAGATCTGAGGAATGAGATGTAGAAATTATATACTGTGATTGTAAATGGCTTCTATTGTGCATCATAGATTTCCACCTTTGTCCCTCCAGTGAATTTGTTCCCAAATTGTGTTAGACTAATTCCGGCCTCCCCTTTAAATACGGAGACATGCAAATGGAATACTGTGAGAATGAGGGATTGAATGCATATATTCAAGGAGATTTTTAAGTTTTGGACAAAAACCTATTGGAAAAAAAAAAAAAAACGTCAATAACTATTCCTTAAAAGTCCCAAGAAACAATTGTCAGAAAAATCTGACTATATAGTGGGGGATGTGTCACCTCAGGGACTGCCTTTCCATTTACCTTTTTTTTTTTTTAGTTTCAAAATATACTGGATTATACATGGCTGTGGTCTTGGGTGTGAAGTTCCACCCAGGAAATAATCTCTTCTACCTCTCTAGCTATGGCTAGACTTATGCTTTCTCCCTATCGGTTGACGTAAGCCACCTTTGTGGAATTGTCCAACTGAATGCGGATCAGATGACCCACAAGCAGGATGGTCCAATGCTTCAGAGAGGGCCAAAACTCCTGGATGTTGTTTAGAAGATGACATTCTTCCGACATCCAAGTCCCCTGCACCAGTAGGCTGGAATTTGTCATAAGGCTCCTGCAAAAGACAAGAACAAATGACTTTACTGACTCCAGAGCCAAATTTCTGAGCCACAAAGCCAGAGGCAACCTGGTCATCAGTGATAAATGAAACAGTCTGAGCAGAGACAGGATTGACTTGTCCCACAACAGAATGTTGTGTTGCAGTGGCCTGGAGTGAAAATGGGCAAAGCATCAGGCCCAGGACCCTAATACAAAATCCAAGAGTCACACAGCTCCTGGACTAGAGAATTCAAATTCAGAGATTAAAGTGTCTGTAGTTTTTGTGAAAAAACAAACAAACACTCCAGCCTTAGCTGTGTTCAGGACTAGATCCAGATACTTCCAAACATTGAGTGAGGTCCAGCAACAATTTCTGAGGGGTTCAGGACCCACCCGAACTGCTGTAATGTCTGGACAGTCAAAGCCGCATTGTTCCAAATAACCCACGCCAACCGTTCTCTCAGCAGGAGGCCATCTGAGTATCCCTAAATGGGGATGCCACGAGAGCACATCAGTGCTAGTAGTGGGCCAATCACCTTGCAGACGAGATGTCCAAGGCCAGGGCCACAAACTGGTATTTCAGGGGTCCCACAGCAAAGTGTAGGAATGCCTGATGCGCCGGAAAGCTGGGGGCAACAGCATGTTTGATGTGCACAGATCCAGAAAATTTCCCTGGTGAAGAAAAGTGATGACAGATTTAGAAGATTCCCCGACGAATTTCTGAAACCCGAATGAAGACATTCAGAATGTACATTTCTTAACAGTCAGAGAGGGCGAAGACTTCACAATCTATTTCTTCGACTTCCTCTACTGAGGCTGCTCTTGCTACCAGCATCATTCTTCGTGATCTTGTCAAGAGCTGGCCTGAAGAGATGCTGTCCCTTGAAGGCCATGTGAATGTTTTGTTTTTCTTCACACAAGGGTTCCAAAGTCTAGCATTTTAGTCAAAGTGCCCTAAGCATATGCGAGAGAAACCATCACAGGTGAAATTTAATGCAACAGCCATCTGCTCCACACATTCTATAAAAGATCAAATGCAAACGTGGTTAACCCCTTCATGACTGAGCTTGTTTTTAGTTTCTGTTCGTAAATAACTGACACACTTTTGACATTTTTGCTGTGTGATTCTTCCACGTCAGTAATATACTTTCTTACAAAGTGCACCCACACATATTATATATTGTTTTTTAGAGGACAGATAGACACACATGTGATATAAATATGTAGCCCTAACGCCTCACAAATAAAATATAAAAAAAGAGAAAAAAAACGTTAAAAAAAAAAACTTTTTTCCCAGACTTTTAAGGATTTTTTTTTTCAACAAATCTTTTTTTTTAAACTTTTACACAAACAGATACACAAAACAAAACAGGAAAACCACAAGAGACACGGGGAGAGACACAGAGATAAAAGTAGGGTGTCGTCGGCATACAGGGAGACTTTTTTCTCTATACCGCTCAGTAGCAGGCCCCGAACCCATACCGCATCCCGTATCATGATAGCGAGGGGTTCCAGAGCTAGGGCAAATAGGCCAGGGGAAAGGGGGCAACCCTGCCGCATACCCAGAGAAAGGTTGAAGGATCTCAAGAGGCAACCTTTAACCCTAACCCGTGATGTCGGGGCAGAGTGTAACATCTGAAGCCACCGAAGGAAAGTTGGACCAAAACCAAAATTTGCCCAACACAGCCCAGAGGAACAGCCACTCCACAGAATCAAAAGCTTTCTCGACATCTAATGAGACCACCTCCACTCCATTAGAGCCAAGCTGGCAGGCACCATCCAAAACTGTAAAAAGCCTTCGGAGATTGATATCAGTACCCATGCCCGGCATGAACCCAGACTCGTCTCCATGTATCAGCTGGAGGATAACAGTATTCAATCTCAAGGCCAAGATCTTCGCCAGCAGTTTTGCATCTGCATTGAGCAAAGAGATTGGTCTGTAAGAAAATACTGGGCTTGGGAAGCACCTTTTAAAGAGTTGTTGACCAGTCAGACATGGTTTGACAAAGTAAAGTCACATCCAGAAACGGACATAATAAGCACCTTGTTAAGGCGGGAAACATACTTATAAACCTAAAAAAATAAAAAACAAACACATAGGGGGTTGCAAAAACTTAATCAGGATGATTCCAAAAGATAAATATCTGGAAAAGCAGATGCAAAGAGAAAGTTTGAAACAGCATAAGCCGAGAAAGAGCACTGGTATAAGCAACAATCTGAACCTAAATTTTCACAGCGGTAAACACTGTATCAAACAGAGACAAAACAGTCTCCTTTATATTTTGGAGTAAAGCAGTAAACTGCGACACCTCAAGGGTAAGCTTTAGTCAAGGACTCCCAACTACTCAGAATAAGAGTTGCAGAAGCCAGTGGCTTGGAAGCCACTAAGGACATGGGCTAATCAGATATGCAATCTGCAAAAGAGGGAGCTGGAGAATGCTTGTGGCTTCTGTAATCAGTGTCGGCAAATAACTGGGTGATTTGGGTCAAAGTCTTGCATGACTGTAGTACTTAAGCTGAAAGGGAAAAGGATCCAGCTACACCCGACAGAGCTAAAGAGGGCAATGAGGATGTGATGGATGCCAAGAGCAGAGGGCAAGAAAACTCTTGTCAGCAAGCACGCTGCAAGCAGCCCTGGAGCAGTTAGTAGAGTGAGCTGTGGGCACTAGATACAGCGGAAATGTACCCCAAACACACCCCCCACACACACACACACACACACACACTCTTACATTTCAGGCATGTTGCAACAGCAAGGCATAAGCTTAGGGTAGGAAATTAGGTCTCAAATATTGACAAAACCCAGATATATAGTAGCAGGCGACTGTCATGTTATCAAGATATGGGTAAAGTTAATAATTAATTATTGCAGTGCAGGGGGTAGCACCGATGCAAGGGTTGTTTTCTTCTGCCCAGAGTTTTTCTTTAACCCTTCTGTGACAAAACCAGCAGGAAAGGGGAATGGTGGTCAGAGAAGTAAATTATGTAGTTTCCAGTACATCCTCCTAGAACATGCCTACTGAAGCATCCTGGGGCTATGGTCTACACTTTTTTTGGACACCAGTGTCCAAGTCCATCTGTAAGTGGCAGTATAATACGAAGGTTTAAGACTTTGTCAATGAGAGAAATAAATTGGTATTTACGTAGCTTTACAAGAGCTCTTAGAACCAGAGGGTGCCCTGTTACAGTAACAACAGTACAAGAAAACACCTCTAGGTGTCTACTCTTGAAACTATGTCAGCATTAATAGTTTACATTGAACAAGGGTCTATTTTATATGATAGATGCACTTCAATTATAAAACTGCCAGCTTTAAGAAAAGTTATATGTGACTTACTTGTGCACTAAGAGCTTGAATGTCATGTTCAAATGTTGTGTGCATACGCTGCATAGCTTCTGCAGTGTTGAGATCTCTGCCAGTCTCTTCTGGAATCAGTTTATGTTTGTCTTGTATCTGACCCAATGTTTCTCGAGCATCTTGATAGAAGCGGTGGAGCTCATAGGAGGCGGCTAGCATCTGGCTTCGTGTATCAATCATTTCTAGGAGATCAGCCCAAGCCTCATTAAGGCCATCTTTCCATTCAGCAACAGTTGCATTTTCTGAATGTCCAGATGAAATAAGCTCGTCAGCCATGAGGTTGACAGCATCCACCCTTTCCTGGCCAATATTACTGGTGTCACGAGAGAATTCACGGAACTTATCTCTCAGCATCTGGAAGACAAGGAGAAAGAGATTTAGTAAAGGCAAATGGCCTGTACACTAAAGCAAGGGAATTTTCCCTCAGTATAGTGAATGTGGTATGCAAAGAATACACAATCAGGTGCAAGGAAAATAAAGCACTTTTGGTTGCACATGATTGGACGATGGAAGTCGGCAAAACTTTTGCTTGCTCCCAAATATGTAGTTATTCTGATGCTCAAAATGCAAATGATTTACAACTTACTGTTACATGTTCATAGTCTTGCCCTAACTCGTGGGAAGCTGCTACCACTTCACGTTCTGAAATCCAGTGTTCCAGGTCTTCTACATCTCTCTTTAGCTGGCAGAGCCTTTGGTGTTCTTGTAACTTCCCTCTTCTCTCTTCTGCCAAGTCTTTAAGACTAGCATATAGCTTATCAACCTGTCCTTGACGCAAGGTAATGCGGTCACTGCATAAAGAAAAAATAAATAAATAAATATAAAATATCTATAGATCTACACAAAATTTCAAATTAAATAAAAAGCATCATTCTAACATGTTGCAGAGATATAAGGGAAACAAATAGACCAAGGTAGCTGGTTGTTTAAAATATTTATGACTACGTACACTCACCCATCTACAATAATGACCAGGGAGATTATAAAAGGGTTCCGTAAATGTATAAATTTAAAATAGGATTTCTTTATCATCCATTTAGGGACACAGGACTGTAGTAATTATTGGGCATGTGGGTTATTCTGCAGTCTACAGGAGTTGCGACACAAACATCATTAAGCCAGCGCCCATACAACTTCATCTCCAATTGTCATACCTCAGTTTTTTTCCTTGTGCCCTAGAAGGTTGGACGCCTTTTCCTCAACTCCTTTACCCTGGGAACAATATTCATCCAGTCTGTTTCTGCAAAGCAGACAATTTTTGGATCTCTGAATCTGCTGTCCCTCAGTTCAGCAGTGATTTACCTGTGGATTCTTCCTTCCTCACATGCAAGGAAGCATCCATCCCTAGTTCTTCTTTGCCTCCTTGGAAAGTTAGCAGTCAGAACTCTATTATCTCTCTATGCTTCTCAACCATTTTAATTTACTGCTCAAAGAGCTGTCATACCCACACCTATGTCTTTTAGAGATGAATTTCCTATCTGGGAATATCCCTTTTGTTATTGACCTCCTCTCTCTAAAGTCAAGGGTCCCCTGGTTGGTTTATTTTTTTGAGGACATACCCGTCTTAACCCAACTTCCATTCCCTCAAAATAAGAGTTTGGTATGCCAGAGTTAGGTTTTTACCAACGTAATGTAACGTTCTTTTAGTTGAACAACTTAATTTCTGACCCAAGTTATTTTCTTGTATGGCTACTTGTCATTTCACCTTTTTTTCCCCTCAAACAATGGTTGGATGACCTCTACTTTGTTAGTTAAGGCTCATCACTCCTTTAGGTACCAGTTTCCCCATCTGGGATCATCTGTCCTGATCTGGAACCTCAGTTTGATCCTTTGTGTTATTTCCTTGGCCATGTCCTTTTCCATAACTGGTAAATTCTTCTCCATCAAGCCTTCATTCAGGTGTTTATTCTAACAGCTTTGCCTAACCCTCAGTTGGATTGCTTTTGGACGTCCCACATGTCGTAGAATTACTACAATCCTGTGCACCTCAATAGACACAAAAGAAAACAAAAAAGGATTTTGGTACTCGTCATCAAATCTTTTTCTTAAAGTCCATTGAGGGACACAGGTCCCACCCCTCTGTTACTGGCCTTATGTACTGATGTAGGCATGATGGTTGGAGGCAGGGTTATACAAGAGCTGGCCTAAAATTTTTATTTTTGCTAGTGTTGAAATCTCTTGTAGGCGGCAGTATAAGCCACATGTCCAAGAATTACTACAATCCTGTACAGAAATCCTTTACAACTGTTTTTTGTTTTTATGCAGAGATTGGTCTGCAAAATCTGTCAGGACAGACGCTCAGCTTATGCATCTAGATGCTTCAAATGATGCGCATTTACACGAATATGCGTTTAAATGCATCTGTCCTTTGTCCATTGAAACAGTCCACTGAAGTAGCCAATAAGAATTCAGCAAATAAACACATTTTGCATTGTGTTTTGCGTGTGGTGCGCTTAGAGGTTCAAATAAACTCTTAAACACACCTGCCTCCTATTTTATTTTTTTTAAAGGCAGCTTAATTGACTGCAGATAAAAGCAACTGAATGCATGGTGTGAATAGAGCTATTGGAAATCATTAGATGCATATATTTCTGTTTAGAAAACCATTTTAATCACATATATAAATGCATCTAATTGCACCTAGTGTGAATGTAACAAAGTCTTATATTTAAAACTACAGACTTTAGTAATATATGGTTAGCATACAAAATCAGGCAAAAACAAATTTACTTTTGAGTTATTTGAAACTCTACTTCATTTGTTTAGAACAACCGTAGCTTTTGAGAAGTAATTGGCATCTACCTACCTCTCTGGGTGGCTTCTAGAAACCATATCCCTGCTGGAGTTGGCCAGCTGATGGATGGTTTCCGCATAGTCATCAAGAGCTTGCTCCATCACCAGATGTTTCTTTAGCATAGCCTGAGCACCAATCTCATGCT